ATTGTTGTACTTAGATGACATTCAGCAGAGCACATTTTATTGCCCAATTCATGCAAAACTCCACGGAATCCCAAGGGGTTCACATACTTTTTTCTTGCAACTGTATCTTTCCATCGTAACATAATGGAGATCAAATCCCGCTTCTGCTGTGCAACTTGGATCTGCTGACCCAGGGCTTTGGCAATACTTTAACTCTTCCCTTTCTCTCTCAGATATCTCTTTGCTGTGCTATGGTTCTTTGTGTGTGTGTGTGTGTGTGTGTGTATGTATATATATATTATATATCTTAGTTACATCTTCTCTGTAAATATTTTTATTGCACCTATTTGACCCTTTTAGTAAATAAATCTTCCTTTCTGAAAGTGTTGAACTGTTTCTATAGCCCTTAATTGCAACTTACGAATCCCTGCCTTTTAAGAGAACGCTACTGTTTGTTTTTTTTAACCTCTGTATAACTGGCCTGCGGACTGTTTTATAGAGACAATTATTTCAATCATTATAGTGTATTAGCTGAACACCCCGAGTTTCCTCTTTCTCTGTACAAAAAAGAGGTGGTGGCAGTGTGAAAGGGTTTAGTTGCGTAATTAACCCGACCCAGTAACAAGCGCATTCAGGCTGCAGGCACCGATTGTAGTCCATTAGCTGGAAAATCGCTGTGCAGGGTGCAGATGGATGTGGCATTGTTCCGCACGTCACATTGCGGTGTTGGATTGGCTAGTCCTTCGGTCACGGAGTTTGGTGAGAAGGTCTGGGGTCTGACGCCGCGGTCATGACATATTGGACGTCGCGGTTGAGCGATCGTCGCATGTTAAGGGTGGCGATCGTGCGATCTGTGACAGCATTCACTAAATCCAGTGTCTCCCCAGACCCCGCATTCACTATATTTGGTTTCCCCGTCCCTGCATTCACTATAATCTGGTCTCCCGGAACCCGCATTCACTATGTCCGCTCTCCCCAGACCCCGCATTCACTATATCCGCTCTCCCCGGACCCCGCATTCACTATATCCGCTTTCCCCGGACCCCGCATTCACTATACCGGCTCTCCCCGGACCCCGCATTCACTATACCGGCTCTCCCCGGACCCCGCATTCACTATACCGGCTCTCCCCGAACCCCGCATTCACTATACCGCTCTCCCCGGACCCCACAGTCACTATATCCACTCTGCCCAGACTCTGCATTCACTATGTCCCCTCTCCACGGTCCCTACATTCACTATATCCGCTCTCCTCAGACCCCGCATTCACTATATCCGCTTTCCACGGACCCTGCATTCACAATATCAGCTCTCCCTGGGACCCTGCGTTCACTATATCTGGTCTCACCGAACCCTGCATTCACTATATCCGTTCTACCTGGATCTTGCATTCACTATATCCAGTCTCCCTGGACTCTGCACTCATATTTGGTTTTCCCAGACACCTGAATTTGCCATATCTGGTCTTCCTGACCCCTTATTCACTATGTCCACTCTCCCAGACCCTACATTCACTATATCTGGTCTCCCAGGACCCTGCATTCACAATATCCGCTCTACCCAGACCTTGCATTCACTATATCCGGTCTCCCTGGACCCTGCATTCACTATGTTTGGTTTCCAATGCCTCTAAATTCACCAAATATGGTCTCCCCGGACCCGCATTCACTATATCCGCTCTCCCGGACCCCGCATTCACTATATCCGCTCTCCCCGGACACCGCATTCACTATAATGCCGCTCTCCCCGGACACCGCATTCACTATAACAGCTCTCCCCGGACACACCGCATTCACTATAACAGCTCTCCCCCGGACACCGCATTCACTATAACAGCTCTCCCCGGACACCGCATTCACTATAACAGCTCTCCCCGGACACCGCATTCACTATAACAGCTCTCCCCGGACCCTGCATTCACTATATCCACTCTCCCCAGACGTCGCATTTACTATATCCGCTCTCCCCGGACCCCACATTCACTATATCCGCTCTTCCCGGTCCCCTCATTCACTATATCCGCTCTTCCCGGTCCCCTCATTCACTATATCCGCTCTTCCCGGTCCCCTCATTCACTATATCCGCTCTTCCCTGTCCCCCCGCATTCACTATATATCCGCTCTCCCCGGACGCCACATTCACTATATCCGCTCTTCCCAGTCCCCGCATTCCACTATATCCCCTCTCTGCGGACCCTGCATCCACTATATCCGCTTTCCATGGACCCTGCAATCACTACATTCGCTCTCCCTGGACCCTGCATTCACCATATCTGATCTCCCCGGACCCTGCTTTCACTATATCTGGTCTCCCACAGTACACACAACATGGAAATGCAATTACTTTAGTAAATATAAACTGCTAAATACCTTTTCTCATTAGCAGTATATAGCAGTCTTTTGACTTATATCAGTGTCCAGCAGAGCACTGGTTAATGCTTGTAGGAAGAGTTTTCTTTCTGCTCTAGGAGAATGCAGAACCCCTGATTCTCAATCTGGACATCGCTGATTGGCTCTGTATTTATCACATGCACCCTCCAAAGGAAGAACAAACCTCTAGCAAATACACACTAAACTGAGCATGTGTAAAAAATGCCTACAGTTCAGTCTGTCTTATCAGAAGATAAGAGGTGGTCGCTTGAAAAAGGGGAGGAACAGAGCAGAAAGGATCAATCGGCCTTTTTACACAATGCAGAGGATTAACCCCTTAGGTTCCACAGTGAGTGATCACACAGCATGCTTTACTGCATCTACAGACTGATTGTACTGTTGTGGGTTAGTAACACTTTAATGTTTACATTTTATAGTCTATAGGGTCACCATGTTACCATCTGATATTATGCTGTTTGTACAACTTTATATCATATGAGGACCTACCCAATGTATCCAGTCAGTTTGTATCCAATTAGGCAATGGAGGTAAAGAAGATTGTAAGATCAGACTGTACTGTGTGTGGGGAGCTTTAAGTAAGCTACAGACTATACAATATTCTTTCCTTCCACTACGGGTGGAAAGAAAGACAATTGCTCAATCCCCCCATCAACACAGTCAGAATGGATGGGGGAATCACTCTCCTGCCACACAACTGTGTTCTGCCAACAGGAAGCCTTCCCTGCCAGCAGAACACTGATCACTGTTAGCTGCTATAGACCCCCAGCAGTGATCGAATGCAAAAAGTCCCAGAGGATGGTTGTACTGAATGTGATTGACGGATCAACTTCAGTACAACCAGCCTGCCCATAGATGGGTCAGATCTCGGCTGGTCCTTACTAAACCTGTCCATATTTGATCCACTTATGGCCAGCTGTAGAAAAAGTCTAATTTATTGCTGATAACAGAGTTAGAGAAGATCCAAGATTTAGACAATTGAATGTTAATCTGTCCCAGAATATGATTGTCTCAGTCAGTCCTGTTATACTCACTGTAATCCCTCTATCCGGCTTGTTGTCAGAGCCGCCATCAGATCCCTGAAATGAGGACCCTCCAGATTGTTCACAGACAGGTCCAGTGTCCTCAGTGTCGGGTTATTTCTTATTCCAGATGCCAGGTGGGGGCAGGAACTGTCTGTCAGCTGATTATAGGACAATCTGTAGAAGAAGAGAAGAATGTTACCAGAAGGAAATGAATCCCCCCCCCCCCCCAGGAATGAATGGAACTATTCTCTACATGGATGGAACTCATTTCTCTTTATTGGAATCATTTATATTCCATCACTTTATAAATCTCCAGGAAATAGAATTTTATAAGACAAATGTTATAATGGAGTAGACCCCCCAATATTGTCCTCCATGTGTAGAGACGGTGATATCTCCATACACAGGATGAGCACAGAATACCACTGACATGACTCGTATTGTGCTATCATCTCCTTGTGTATGGAGCATGAATGGGATCAGCAGACAGTGTGAGGCCGGAATCAGCATTGCTAGTGATTGGACGGGAGGATTGTATCTGATATTCTATTTATCTCTGCTGATCAGAGCTCTGTACTCATAGGACGTCATGGCGCTAGGTAACAAATGTTCAGTAATGGGGAGATCTTCCGGAACTGAATAGCACGTCAGATGAAAAGAATTTGTTTGATGCTCTGATCACTCATTGCATTAAGATCAGATTCTCCCATGTATGAGCATCTTTAATGTCATCTATTTATACAGATACCAAACTAAATGTAGAGTGTTATTAAACCCTGGACCCCCCGCATTCACTATATCCGCTCTCCCCGGACCCTGCATTCACTATATCCGCTCTCCCCGGACCCCACATCACTATATCCGCTCTCCCCGGACCCTGCATTCACTAAATTTGGTCTCATTGGCCCCTGCTTTCACCATGTCTGGTCGTCCGGACCCCGCATTCACCATATCGGCTCTCCCCGGACCCCGCATTCACTATATCTGGTCTCCCACAGTACACACAACATAGAAATGCAATTTTTTTTAGTAAATATAAACTGCTAAATACCTTTTCTCATCAGCAGTATATAGCAGTCTTTTAACTTTTATCAGTGTCCGGCCGAGCACTGGATAAAGCTTGTAGGAGGAGTTTTCTTTCTGCTCTAGGAGGATGCAGAACCCCTGATCTCTGTCTGGACAGCGCTGATTGGCGCTGCGTTGATCACATGTACCCTCCCAAGGAAAAAAAAACATCTCTAGCAATACACACTAAACTGAGCATGTGCAAAATGCCTACGGTTCAGTCTGTCTTATCAGAAGATAAGAGGTGGTTGCTTGAAAAAGGGGAGGAACAGAATAGAAAGGATCAATTGGCCTTTTTACACAATGCAGAGGATTAACCCCTTAGGTTCCACAGTGAGTATCACAAGCAGGCTTTACTGCATCTACAGACTGATTGTACTGTTGTGGGTTTAGTAACACTTTAATGGTTACATTTTATAGTCTATAGGGTCACCATGTTACCATCTGATATTATGCTGTTTGTACAACTTTATATCATATGAGGACCTACCCAATGTATCCAGTCAGTTTGTATCCAATTAGGCAATGGAGGTAAAGAAGATTGTAAGATCAGACTGTACTGTGTGTGGGGAGCTTTAAGTAAGCTACAGACTATACAATATTCTTTCCTTCCACTACGGGTGGAAAGAAAGACAATTGCTCAATCCCCCCCATCAACACAGTCAGAATGGATGGGGGAATCACTCCTGCGCACAACTGTGTTCTGCCAACAGGAAGCCTTCCCTGCCAGCAGAACACTGATCACTGTTAGCTGCTATAGACCTCCAGCAGTGATCGAATGCAAAAAGTCCCAGAGGATGGTTGTACGGAATGTGATTGACGGATCAACTTCAGTACATCCAGCCTGCCCATAGATGGGTCAGATCTCGGCTGGTCCTTACTAAACCTGTCCATATTTGATCCACTTATGGCCAGATGTAGAAAAAGTCTAATTTATTGCTGATAACAGAGTTAGAGAAGATCCGAAGATTTAGACAATTGAATGTTAATCTGTCCCAGAATATGATTGTCTCAGTCAGTCCTGTTATACTCACTGTAATTCCTCTATCCGGCTTGTTGTCAGAGCTGCCATCAGATCCCTGAAATGAGGACCCTCCAGATTGTTCACACAGACAGGTCAGTGTCCTCAGTGTCGGGTTATTTCTTATTCCAGATGCCAGGTGGGGGCAGGAACTGTCTGTCAGGTGAGTATCATCCAGACAATGTAGAAGAAGAGAAGAATGTTACCAGAAGGAAATGAATCCCCCCCCCCCCCCCCAGGAATGAATGGAACTATTCTCTACATGGATGGAACTCATTTCTCTTTATTGGAATCATTTATATTCGATCACTTTATAAATCTCCAGGAAATAGAATTTTATAAGACAAATGTTATAATGGAGTAGACCCCCCAATATTGTCCTCCATGTGTAGAGACGGTGATATCTCCATACACAGGATGAGCACAGAATACCACTGACATGACTCGTATTGTGCTATCATCTCCTTGTGTATGGAGCATGAATGGGATCAGCAGACAGTGTGAGGCCGGAATCAGCATTGCTAGTGATTGGACGGGAGGATTGTATCTGATATTCTATTTATCTCTGCTGATCAGAGCTCTGTACTCATAGGACGTCATGGCGCTACGTAACAAATGTTCAGTAATGGGGAGATCTTCCGGAAATGAATAGCACGCCAGATGAAAAGAATTTGTTTGATGTTCTGATCACTCATTGCATTAAGATCAGATTCTCCCATGTATGAGCATCTTTAATGTCATCTATTTATACAGATACCAAACTAAATGTAGAGTGTTACTAAACCCCGGACCCCGCATTCACTATATCCGCTCTCCCCCCGGACCCCGCATTCACTATATCCGCTCTCCCCCGAAACCGCATTCACTATATCCGCTCTCCCCAGACCCTGCATTCACTATATCCGCTCTCCCCGGACCCTGCATTCACTATATCCGCTCTCCCCGGACCCCGCATTCACTATATCCGCTCTCCCCGGACCCCGCATTCACTGTATCCACTCTCCCCGGACCCCGCATTCACTGTATCCGCTCTCCCCCCGGACCCCGCATTCACTATATCCGCTCCCCCCGGACCCCGCATTCACTATATCCGCTCTCCCCGGACCCTGCATTCACTATATCCGCTCTCCCCGGACCCCGCATTCACTATATCCGCTCTCCCCGGACCCCGCATTCACTATATCTGCTCTCCCCGGACCCCGCATTCACTATATCGGCTCTCTTCCCAGACCCTGCATTCACTATATCCACTCTCTCCCTGGACCCTGCATTCACTATATCTGGTCCCTCCGGACCCTGCATTCACTATATCCACTCTCCCTGGACCCTGCATTCACTATATCCGCTCTCTACGGACCCCGAATTCACTATATCCGCTCTCTACGGACCCTGCATTCACTATATCTGCACCCCCCGGACCCTGCATTCACTATATCCGCTCTCTACGGACCCCGAATTCACTATATCTGGTCTCCCAAGACCCTGCATTCACTATATCTGTTCTCCCTGGACCCTGCATTCACTATATCCACTCTCCCCAGACCCTGCATTCACTATATCCACTCTCCCTGGACCCTGCATTCACTATATCTGGTCCCTCCGGACCCTGCATTCACTATATCCACTCTCCCTGGACCCTGCATTCACTATATCTGCACCCCCCGGACCCTGCATTCACTATATCCGCTCTCTACGGACCCCGAATTCACTATATCTGGTCTCCCAAGACCCTGCATTCACTATATCTGTTCTCCTGGACCCTGCATTCACTATATCCGGTCTCCCACAGTACACACAACATGGAAAAGCTATTTTTTTGGTAAATATAAACTTTTAAATACCTTTTCTCATCAGCAGTATATAGCAGTCTTTTGATTTCTATCGGTGTGTCCAGCAGAGCACTGGTTAAAGCTTGTAGGAGAAGTTTTCTTTCTGCTCTAGGAGGATGCAGAACCCTTCATCTCTGTCTGGACAGCGCTGATTGGTGCTGTGTTGATCAAATGTACCCTCCCAGGGAGAAAAAAAAAACTTCTCTAGCAATACACACTAAACTGAGCATGTGCAAAATGCCTACAGTTCAGTCTGTCTTATCAGAAGATAAAAGGTGGTTGCTTCAAAAAGGGGAGGAACAGAGCAGAAAGGATCAATCAGCCTTTTTAAACAATGCAGAGGATTAACCCCTTAGGTTCCACAGTGAGTATCACAAGCACGCTTTACTGCATCTACAGACTGATTGTACTGTTGTGGGTTTAGTAACACTTTAATGGTTACATTTTATAGTCTATGGGGTCACCATGTTACCATCTGATATTATGCTGTTTGTACAACTTTATATCATATGAGGACCTACCCAATGTATCCAGTCAGTTTGTATCCAATTAGGCAAATGGAGGTAAAGAAGATTGTAAGATCAGACTGTACTGTGTGTGGGGAGCTTTAAGTAAGCTACAGACTATACAATATTCTTTCCTTCCACTACGGGTGGAAAGAAAGACAATTGCTCAATCCCCCCATCAACACAGTCAGAATGGATGGGGGAATCACTCCTGCCGCACAACTGTGTTCTGCCAACAGGAAGCCTTCCCTGCCAGCAGAACACTGATCACTGTTAGCTGCTATAGACCTCCAGCAGTGATCGAATGCAAAAAGTCCCAGAGGATGGTTGTACTGAATGTGATTGACGGATCAACTTCAGTACAACCAGCCTGCCCATAGATGGGTCAGATCTCGGCTGGTCCTTACTAAACCTGTCCATATTTGATCCACTTATGGCCAGATGTAGAAAAAGTCTAATTTATTGCTGATAACAGAGTTAGAGAAGATCCGAAGATTTAGACAATTGAATGTTAATCTGTCCCAGAATATGATTGTCTCAGTCAGTCCTGTTATACTCACTGTAATTCCTCTATCCGGCTTGTTGTCAGAGCCGCCATCAGATCCCTGAAATGAGGACCCTCCAGATTGTTCACAGACAGGTCCAGTGTCCTCAGTGTCGGGTTATTTCTTATTCCAGATGCCAGGTGGGGGCAGGAACGGTCTGTCAGGTGATTACTAACCAATCTGTAGAAGAAGAGAAGAATGTTACCAGAAGGAAATGAATCCCCCCCCCCCCCCCCAGGAATGAATGGAACTATTCTCTACATGGATGGAACTCATTTCTCTTGATTGGAATCATTTATATTCGATCACTTTATAAATCTCCAGGAAATAGAATTTTATAAGACAAATGTTATAATGGAGTAGACCCCCCAATATTGTCCTCCATGTGTAGAGACGGTGATATCTCCATACACAGGATGAGCACAGAATACCACTGACATGACTCGTATTGTGCTATCATCTCCTTGTGTATGGAGCATGAATGGGATCAGCAGACAGTGTGAGGCCGGAATCAGCCTTGCTAGTGATTGGACGGGAGGATTGTATCTGATATTCTATTTATCTCTGCTGATCAGAGTTCTGTACTCATAGGAAGTAATAATGGGGATCCCGACACTGAATAGTAGATGTGTAGTAATGGGGGGATCCCCTGACACTGAATAGTAGATGTGTAGTAATGGGGGGATCCCTGACACTGAATAGTAGATGTGTAGTAATGGGGGATCTCCTGACACTGAATAGTAGATGTGTAGTAATGGGGGATCCCCTGACACTGAATAGTAGATGTGTAGTAATAGGGAGACCCCCAACACTGAATAGTAGATGTGTAGTAATGGATATCCCTTTGACACTGAATAGTAGATGTGTAGTAATGGGGGACTCCTGACACTGAATTGTAGATGTGTAGTAATGAGGGGATTCCCCCAACACTGAATAGTAGATGTGTTGTAATGAGGGGATTCCCCTGACACTGAATAGTAGATATGTAGTAATGGGGGATCCCCTGACACTGAATAGTAGATATGTAGTAATGGGGGATCCCCTGACACTGAATAGTAGATGTGTAGTGTCAAGTACCAGGAGCGCAGAGAGAGCACGCAGAGACAGATTGCACAGAACACGACATGCGGGCGTTTATTGGGGAGGTTTTTGGGGTACAGTCAATAGTTCTGTTAGTCCAGTAAAATTCTCTGGAAGGCAATATGGGACAACAGGGGGCTGATAATCTACAGGGTTCAGTAGGACAAGGGAGTGGAGGTTTCGTGAGAATTCGGGTTCCTGGGGAGAATTGGGTTAAATCTTTCGGGCAGCAAGGGGTTAGTCCACTTACTAGATGCGGAGGGTCTCTGAGGGGAAAAGAAAATCATTCCTTTCAGCTGGGGGCTCAGCCCGGGATGACCACCCACCTCACTTGGTAAGTAAACCTTTTGTCTTTTTATGACTAAAAGCTCTTTCTTGCCCTGTGTTGAGGGAAGGTCTTGAATCATTCTGTATTGTCTATATAGACCCGTGATAACCTGTAGCTGCTTTTGGTAAGCAGACTTAACTCTTTGGTAGAGTTACAAAATAGTGCACTATAAAAAAAGGTGTTTTTGGTAAACACAGATTGTTCTCTGGTAGAACACACTATTTTTTGGTAAAACAGTGAAGAGATAACTTTTGGGAAGTTATCAAGAGGTTAATAAGTCTGTGGAGCAGATTCTGGTTTATCTGTCTTTTGCTTTTTCTTTCTGTTGCGTAGAAGTATAAGATAATTTGTTGTGTGGAACAAAATAAGATTTGAAGGTAAAATTGTCTTATCCACTGTCTAAATATGGGTCAAGGAGGTAGTTACCCACCAGGTCCCCCAGAAAAGGGAGAAAATTGTAAGGATTATGTTGCTAGAGTTTGTGGAACGGACTATTATTTAATAAATCCCTGGGTGGATTGTATGGCTGGTTGGACAGAAGCTATGGGGAGTACAGACCCATTCCCAAGAAAGGGGGCAAATGATCCTTTTCATACAGACATGGTTAAGGGAGTATGTTTGGGGGACAAACAAGCCTTTCCTTGGTATGAGGGGGACCCACAATGGGACCAAGTTTATATGAAGAAAGGGGGAGAAAACTGGTTAAAATGGTCACCGTATTGGGTTGATAATAGCAAGGGAAGTTCAATTTGATTTTCTCTTTAAAACAAAAGAGGAAGTTGAAATTGGATACATTAAAAATATGCCAGGAAAAGCATCAATCTGAAAAGACATGCAGACCCAAGATTGGACTGACAACAGTTCAGACACCAATCCCACCCCCTCTGTATAATATATATCCTTCATTAAGTGGTTTTAAAAATGCTGCTGATGATGATTTTTTGATTAGTTTGGGGATGATTACTCCCCAGCCTAATGCCCCTCCAGTCCCTGCCCCTGTCCCTGTGCCACTTCCTGTCCCGGACGAGCCCACAGCTGAAAGGAATGATTTTCTTTTCCCCTCAGAGACCCCCGGTCTGTGGAGAGATTCCTGGTTTCACATTGGGACATGAAACTACCCTACACACCACACACCCAGTGTCCTTACTACTGAAAAACATACACACTCAACACATGTCAGCACAAAGGTTGAGCGGATATGAAGTGATTCTTCTATCTGATCCCAACTTGATTATTAAATATTCTTCAGCAAATTCAGGTCCTACTCCAATTTTGAATGCCCTACTGGGGCTAAAGGGGGAACAGGATGAAGTGGCACCAGAACACAATTGTATAACCCACATACAGCAAGACACTTCCCCTAGGTCCGACATGTCAGCTGTGGCTCTTGATGGGGCCCCAGATGTGTTTGTAGATGGCTCATGTTCTAGGCCAAATGATAGTACTTACCATGCAGGATACGGCATTGTGCAACTTCCTGACAAAATACTCGAGGCAAAGCCAATTCCATATCAGTCAGCCCAAGCAGCCGAACTGATTGCCCTTACAAGAGCATGTCAATTATTTGCAGGACAGGATGTCAACATTTACACAGACTCCAAGTACGCCCATGGTGCTGTACACGATTTTGGGGTCATTTGGGAGAGAAGAGGATTCATTGCTGCTGATGGCAAAACCATATCTCACTCTTCTTTGATATCTGATCTACTCAAAGCCATACAGTTACCAAAAACATCAGCCATTCTTCATTGCAGGGCACATACAAATCGCAGAGATCATATTGCTAAAGGAAATGCATTAGCAGATAAGGTAGCAAAGGAAGCCGCATTACAACAGGTGGCCAGTGAGCAGATGCCTTTGCTCACTTCAGGCGTCACAACTACCCCACATGACCAGATGTATGCAGATTTACAAAAATTTGCTACAAAAATCGAATTTAGCAGACTGGAATGGTTCTGGAGCACAACTAGATCCAGCTTCTGGTCTAGTGTGCTTAGAGGGGAAACCATGCATTCCCATGTCAAGTGCCCCACTGTTCATTGCACAGTACCACGGTCTAGGACATAGAGGATGGAAAACGACATGTGAAACATTATTGCAGGATTTTTACATTACAGGCTTATCTAGGTTGGTGAAAGAATATGTTTCCAGGTGCATTACATGTATAAGGAACAATCCACAGAACCCAAAGAAATCACAACACCAGCATCTAGTGTACCCAACTACACCTTTCACCCATTTACAAATAGATTTTACCCACATGCCAAAAACAGGACAGAGGCAAGAGTTTTTGTTGGTAATGGTGGATATGTTCAGCAGATGGGTGGAAGGATTTGTCACTAATAAAGAAGACGCACAGACTGTAGTCAGAATTCTTACACAGGAGATAATACCCAGATGGGGATGTCCGCTGCAGATAAATTCTGATAACGGACCAGCTTTTGTGGCCAAGGTATGTCAAGATTTGGTAAAAGTACTTAAGATAGATTGGAAGTTTCATATTCCCTATCATCCTCAAAGTTGGGGTATAGTAGAAAGGATGAACAGGACAATTAAGGATAAGTTGAGGAAGGCCACTGGAGGAACCTATACCCACTGGAAGAAGATGTTACCTGCAATTCTAGCAGAGGTAAGAATGACACCTAATAAGACTGCAGGGTTATTTCCTTTTGAAATATTAATGGGAAGACCGTTCCCCACTCCTTGGGCTAGACAACCACTTATGTTAGAAAGAGGGGACCTTGACCTGGTACAACAAGAATATGTGAGAAAATTGATTCAAACTTTAGATCAGATTGAAAGAAATGTTGCTCGCACCTCTCCTTTATCTTTTCAGGAACCAACACATCTTTTCCAAGTGGGAGATGTCGTAGTGGTCCGCCAACTCGCTAAAGACAAGAAGCAAGGCTACCCCTTTGGACCACCTACTACGGTGATAGCGGTTACCAGAACGGCTGTTCTGGTGGAGAATTCCCAGTCCTGGATCCATGCTAGTTGAGTGAAGGTGAACCAAACACCTGAGAAATACGAAACGGAAAAAGGAGGTGAAGGACAAGTAGAAAATCCTCGAAGAGCGGGTGAAGTCGGTGAGAAAGACCCTGAAGATGACATTCCTTACTGGCCCTCATGGTGCTTTGAAACTCTGGGTCCTATTGGGCACACTGACTGTGATCTTTTTCCTGCCAGTATGGATCCTAACTAACTGTATTTATCACCCTGAGGACTTGGGCCTAATAAAAGGTATCTGTGGTCAAGGACTAGTTTTAAAATGAGACCCAGATAACCAAAAGTGAAAGAAAGTCAAAAAGAAGTTTTGAAGAGAACAATCCTTTTTCAGGAAAAATGTTGATGATGCAGTTTAAATATGCTTATGCCCAAAAGTCAGGTTATGATAAATGTTGGATATGTAGTAAGTTACATCCTACCACATATGAAATTCCTCTTCTGGCCGCTCCAGTCAAAATATTTTTGTTAATAAAAGGGATGTAAGTATTGGTTTGACCAATATTACTTCTAATGCCACCATATCTTTTCCAACTCTGGGAGTCACTCAACTCCCCGATTGGTGTTTTAGACTGGGGAATACTTCCCACAAGGGAAGGGGAATGTGCTCTCAGTCCATATTAAATATATCTGATCCTGGAAGGAGGGATGGAACTTCTGTGAAACTCTGGCAAG